GGGTGGGATTCGGGGTGGGATTCGGGGTGGGACTCACCGGGAGCGGCGCCGGCGGCCGCGGCTGTGCCGTCAGTGCCGGCCGGGGCCTGGACGCCGCCGGGGCCAGGCGGGAAGGGCCCCACAGGCGGCCAGAACGGGAACATTCCCGGCGGGAAGGGAGGCAGCATCCCCTGGGGAACTGCGGGGACAGGGCAGCGCTGCGGCCACGACTCCAGCCCCTCCTGCCCGACCCCGAAGGCAACGGGGGCGGCACAGCGGGAACGTCCCGGGCTGGGGTGTCACTGTTGGGGTGTCACTGTCATGGTGTCACTATCGGGGTGTCCCGGGCTGGGGTGTCACTGTCAGGGTGTCACTATCGGGGTGTCCCTGTTGGGGTGTTACTGTCGGGGTGTCACTGTCAGGGGCTGCCCACAGGGCCTCTCCCTCCTTTTGTCCCCACAGCAATGGTCACTCACACCTGGGTGTCCCGTGGTCACTCACACCTGGGTGTCCCGTGGTCACCCACAGCTGGGTGTCCCGTGCTCACCCACACCGGGGTGTCCCTGTCCCCCCTCTGTCCCGTGCTCACTCACAGGTGGGTGTCCCGTGCTCACTCACAGGTGAGTGTCCCTGTGGTCACTCACAGCTGGGTGTCCCTGTCCCCCCTCTGTCCCGTGCTCACTCACAGCTGGGTGTCCCGTGCTCACCCACACCCGGGTGTCCCTGTGGTCACTCACACCTGGGTGTCCCTGTGGTCACTCACACCCGGGTGTCCCTGTGGTCACTCACACCTGGGTGTCCCTGTGGTCACCCACACCCGGGTGTCCCGTGGTCACCCACACCTGGGTGTCCCGTCCCCCCTCCGTCCCGTGCTCACTCACAGTTGTTGGGCTGCGCCGCCGGTGCCGGTGCCGGTGCCGGCGGCTCCGGGGGCGGCTGCGGCGGCAGCGAGGCGCGGAGCACGTCCATGCGGCACGTGGGGCACGTCTGCTGCCGCTGGAACCAGGAGCGCAGGCAGCTGCGGGGTTCGTTAGCGCCCTCGTTAATTAACGCAGTAGTGCCACCCCCGCTGGTTTAATTAACCCCTAAATTAACTCCCCTCCTGTCAGCTGTTGGCCCCCGAGACCCCTCCGTGTCCCTCTGACCCCCCACAAAAGAATTCAACCCTTTTCCCGCTAATGAACCCCTAATTAATTAATCACGAATTAACTAATGACCTCATTAACCTGCACTGTGATGCCGGGGATTGGGATTGGGATGGAATCAGGATTGGGATCAGGATTGGGATCGGGATCAGGACTGGGATGGGGATGGGATTGGGACAGAATCAAGATTGGGATCGGGACTGGGATCAAGATTGGATTGGGATGGGATTGGGATCAGGATCGGGATCAGGACTGGGACTGGGATGGAATCGGGATTGGGATCAGGATCAGGGTTGAGATCAGGATCAGGACTGGGGGGATAGTGATGGGATTGGGATCAGGATTGGATTGGGATGGGATTGGGATCAGGACTGGGATAGGGATGTAATCAGGACTGGGATCAGGACTGGGACTGGGTTGGAATCGGGATTGGGATCAGGATCAGGATTGAGATCAGGATCAGGATTGGGGGGACAGTGATGGGATTTGGATCAGGATTGGATTGGGATGGAATCAGGATTGGGATTGGGATTGGATTGCCGTTGCAGGCTGGCAGACCTGCAGTGGTGACACCCCCCAAAACCACCCCCAAAACCACCCCCAAACCACTCCCAAAATGCCCGAATTCCCGGAATGGCCGGGCAGCAGACCTGGTGTGGAAGATGTGGTTGCAGGGCAGGCGCTTGGCGCCCGTCACCATCTCCTCACGGCAGATGATGCAGACATTGTCCACGGCCTGCAGCTCCTCGGCCGTGGCGTCGGGATAGCTGTGGGGAAAACATCCCCCAGCTGCCCCAAAACCCCACAGCTGCCCCAAAAACCCCACAGCTGCCCCAAAAACCCCACAGCTGCCCCAAAAACCCCACAGCTGACCCAAAAACCTCACAGCTGACCTAAAAACCTCACAGCTGCCCCAAAAACCCACAGCTGCCCCAAAAACCCCACAGCTGACCCAAAAACCTCACAGCTGACCTAAAAACCTCACAGCTGACCCAAAAATCTCACAGCTGACCTAAAAACCTCACAGCTGCCCCAAAAACCCACAGCTGCCCCAAAAACCCCACAGGTGCCCCAAAAACCCCACAGCTGACCCAAAAACCCCACAGCTGCCCCAAAAACCTCACAGCTGCCCCAAAAACCCCACAGCTGGTCCCACCCCACAGCTGGGGGCAATTTAGGGGGAAAAGGGACTTTGGAATTTGGGATTTTGGGGTTTTTGTGGTGGCTGGATGCAGGGTTTTCCCGGGATTTGTGGTTTCGGGGTGGATGGGTGCAGGGTTTTCCCGGGATTTGTGGTTTCTGAGTGGATGTAGGGTTTTCCCAGGATTTGAGGTTTCTGGGGTGGATGTAGGGATTTTCCTGGGATTTGGGGTTTCTGGGGCACTCACAGCGTGTTCATGTTGCGGATGGCCCGGCGGGACATGATGGCGTCGGTGACGGCCTTCTTGAACTGCCTGGAGCAGAGCGGGATTGGGATCGGGATTGAAACGGGAGTGGGGTGAGATCAGGATAGGATCAGCATGGGATCAGGATTGGGATTGGGATAGGATCAGGACTGGGATGGGATTGGGATCAGGATGGGATCAGGATTGGGGCTGAGATGGGATCAGGATTGGGATCAGGATTGTAATTGGGATGGGATCAAGACTGGGATTGGGATGGAATCAGAATGGGATCAGGATCAGGACTGGGATCGTGATCAGGATCAGGACAGGGTCATGATCGGGATGGGGATCAGGACCAGGATCAGGATCGGGACCAGGACCAGGATGGGGATCCAGATGGGATCAGGACAGGATCAGGCCGGGAGCAGGCCCGGGATCACACCAGGACGCCCCCGGGGCCGCGGGGCCTCACCTCATGGCCAGGTACATGGGGCGGATGGCGAAGAGCGGGAAGGTGTGCACCTTGATCATGATGGTCATGAAGGCCATGTAGAGCAGCACCTTGATCAGCCCTGGGGAGAGCACAGCGGGACACGCTGGGACCGCCCGCGGCGGGCTGCGGCCCCGCGGCCACCCGGGCCCGTGGGACACCTGAGGTGACCAGCTGAGCAGGCTGAGCAACCAAAGCCAGCTGAGCACCAACGCCACCGTGTCCAAGCCTCCATTAATGACCCAAACCCAGCTGAGCGCCAAAACTTTGAGTCACCACTGACCAACCAAGCACCAAAACTTTGAGTCTTCACTGACCCACCAAGGCCAGCCAAACACCACCAACATTTTGAGTTTTGGTTGACCACCAAGACCACTTAACACCAGGACTTTGAGTTTTCATTGACCAATGAAGAGCAGTTGAGCCTCACCAAGACTCTGGATCTTCATTGACCAACCAAGACCAGCCAAGCACCACCAACATGAAAAGTTTTGGCTGACCACCAGGACCAGTAGAACACCAACGCTTTGGATCATCGCTAATGAACAAAAACCCTAATGAACCTTCCAACCCTTCTCGGAAACCGAGACTTCCAGTCTTTGTTGACCAACCAAGCTGAACGCCAAGGCGCCAACTCTTCGCTGACCGATGAAGACCAACCGAGCACCACCAAGACTTTGACTCTTCGCTGACCAACCAAACCCACCCCAACTCCCCCAACACTTCATCTCTTCGTTAACCAACGCCTAATTGAGCCCCCCCACCCGCGAGCGGCCGCGGTACCGGTGAAGAGCTCGGTGTAGAGCATGAACACGGCCTTGTTGTCCCAGGGGTTCTCGTTCTGCAGGTCCACGGAGTGCAGCACGTACTTGATGAAGATGGTCAGCACCATGGTCATCAGGATGGCGTACTGGGGGTGGCACAGGAGCCAGGTGGGACGTCCCGCCCCGGGAGCGGCCCCGGGGACCCCCGGGACCCCCCGCACCCACCTCGAAGCCGAAGACCAGCTGGACGGAGGCGCCACGGGTCAGGATGCTGTGGTAGGCGTGGCTGACAAAGAGGAAGTCCAGGATTCCCAGCAGGAACATCAGGGCTGGGAAAAGAGGCCGGGAGACCCAAAAACTGAACGGGATCCACCCTCGGGAGCAGCTTTTGGGGGGGTTCCTACACCCCCCCGCTAACGAGGAGCTTAATTAACAGGTAATTAATTAGGTATCTCCACTGCCAGCCACACCTTGCAGCCTCCTGCCCACCAACACCCCAAAATTCCTTCCAAAACTGCTTTCTACACCCCTAAATCCTGTTGTTCTGATTTTGGGAAGTGCACCCCTAAATCCCATTTTTATGATTTTTGGGGAGTACATCCCTAAATCCCATTTTTCTGATTTTGGGAAGTACATCCCTAAATCCCATTTTCCCATCCCGTTTTGCCGTGGATCCAGATCCTTGTTTTCCTTCCACGGAGCTCGTTAACCCCCCCCAGGAACCACCTCATTAACGAGTTGCTGCTGATTAGGGTGTTTCGGGTTATCAGGCCTCAGCACGCTTGGCTGCCCCGGGTTCTTCCCCAAAAATATGCAAATGAGGAGCACTCACAGACGATTCGGAAGTGGAAGAGCCACGAGATGTTGGGGCTCCTCTCCATCTGTGCAGGGGAGGAAAATCCAGTTTTTTCCACAGAAAAATGGGATTAGGGCTCATTTCCAGCTGTTTTGGGGTGGCTTTGGCTGGCTTGGGGTTAGTTTTGGGGTGAATTTGAGATATTTTTGGGGTTGATTGTTGATTGGGTTAGGGTTCATTTCAGGTTGGTTTGGGCTGGTTTTTGGGTTATTTTTGGGTTGGTTTTGGGCTGGTTTAGGCTGATTGATTTGGGGTTATTTTTGGGCTGGTTTCAAGCTGGTTTGGGGTTATTTTTGGGTTGGTTTCAGACTGTTTTAGGGTTAATTTTGGGCTAGTTTCAGGCCGATTTGGGGTTATTTTTGGGCTGGTTTTTGGGTTGATTTCAGGTTATTTTTGGGCTGGTTTCTGGCAAGTTCTGGGTTGATTCTGGCTTATTTTTGGAGTGGTTTAAGGCTGGATTTGGGGTTTTTTGGGGCGTTTTTTGAGCTGTTTTCCCTGCTGCCAACACTCACAAAATCCACACGGTCCTCGGCCAGCCAGTGGAAGCACTTGAGGAAGAGGAGGAGGGTGAAGAGGGCGACGAAGCGCGGGCTGAAGTCGTCCCTGAAGACGGTGAAGGCCAGGCAGGTCTCGGTCACCGCGTACCACGAGCGCTCCAGGAGGTGCTGAGGGACAGATTCAGGGGCAGCCCCCCGGGGTGAACCCCAAA